TCGGGGCTATGGCGGGAAGGGACCCGAGGTGCGAGACCGCGCGGCGTTGTCATGGAAACGGGCCAGGGCGCGAAATAGAGGCCCCGGGCCGGACGGGCTGCGGGAGGGATGAACCCCAGGTTGGGAGGATGAGAGAGCAGAAGAGAGAGGCGGGGTAGGGTGGGGGCGGGGAGGGTGTCAATGGGAGCAAGTGGAGCCAGGGGACCTCAGTTCGAGGCACCTGACCTGGGGTTTCTGTAACCTCCCTGGTTTCTGTAACCTCAGGATTCCCCCAAACAGGTTCCACTGCCTTAAGGATGACAGTCATAGGGAACCCTCGAAGTTGGAGCTGCCAGTGGTTGCCAATCCTGATACTGTTGCTGGGCACAGGCCATGGGCCAGGGGTGGAAGGCGTGACACACTACAAGGCCGGCGACCCTGTTATTCTATATGTCAACAAAGTGGGACCCTACCATAACCCTCAGGAAACTTACCACTACTATCAGCTTCCAGTTTGCTGCCCTGAGAAGATACGTCACAAAAGCCTTAGCCTGGGTGAAGTGCTGGATGGGGACCGAATGGCTGAGTCTTTGTATGAGATCCGCTTTCGGGAAAACGTGGAGAAGAGAATTCTGTGCCACATGCAGCTCAGTTCTGCACAGGTCAGCCTCTCCACATTGGCTATCATGTAGCCCTCCTTCCCAGAGACTAACAGTGCCTTACATATATGGTTCAGGGTACCTTTATGGAAATTGTCTGATTTGATTCTAACTACAATACAACCCAGTGTGGCAGGCAGGGTAGGTGATGCTATTCTAATTCAGTTGACTAAGTTACGAACTTGCTTAGAAGTTACTTTTTTCAAGATTACATTGACAGTGAATTGCAGAACTGATATCAGAGCCCAGGGTTTCTTACTGCAAGCTTCTCTGTTGGTCATGAGGTCCCAACTATCAGTCCTACATATTTCTGTTTCCTTCCATGCCTACCTCTTGGCTGTTTCTTAACTGTTTTCCTGTAGTCTCTACCTAACCTTCCCTGTCATGCTTTTTCTTTAGTGAATCCTGGTACTTCTTAGTCCACTCTAGACTTCCTTACACCTTACCACTCTCCTTTTTCTAGGCTTTAACCTTGTCAAGTCATACTTGCTTTCTTTTGGAGAATCTCAGCATACTGGAGTCTCATCCAGTGATTGTCAACAGGGAACACTTTTGTTCCCCAAGGGACATTTAGCAATGTCTAGAGACATTTTTTATTGTTACAGCTGGGGGTACTACCAGCATGTAATGGGAAGAGGCCAGGAAAGCTACATCCTACAGTGCATGGGACAACCCCACTATGACAAGCTCCACCTTCTGGGTTCGTGCCATTCTCCTGCCTCAGCCTCCCGAGTAGCTGGGACTACAGGTGCCCGCCACCATGCCCGGCTAATTTTTTGTATTTTTAGTAGAAACGGGGTTTCACCGTGTCAGCCAGTATGGTCTCCATCTCCTGACCTTGTGATCCGCCCGCCTCGGCCTCCCAAAGTGCTGGGATTACAGGCGTGAGCCACCGCACCTGGCCAATCCCAGCACTTTGGGAGGCCGAGGTGGGCGGATCATGAGGTCAGGAGTTTGAGACTAGTCTGGCCAACATGGTGAAACCTGTCTCTATTAAAAATACAAAAATGAGCTGGGTGTGGTGGTGGGTACCTGTAATCCCAGCTACTCGGGAGGCTGGGGCAGAATTGCTTGAACCCAGGAGGCAGAGACTGCAGTAAACCGAGATTGCACCACTGCACTCCAGCCTGGGTGACAAAGCAAGACTCCATCTCGAAAAAAAAGAACTGTCCACCCCAAAATATCAGTAGTGCTGAAGGTGAGAAACTTTGCTCTAACTCTCTGCCTGGGGAGGTCTTGTGTGACCAACTCCTGACTTGCTCTTTATAGGTGGAGCAGCTGCGCCAGGCCATCGAAGAACTGTACTACTTTGAATTTGTGGTAGATGACTTGCCAATCCGGGGCTTTGTGGGCTACATGGAGGAGAGCGGCTTCTTGCCACACAGCCACAAGATAGGACTCTGGACCCATTTGGACTTCCACCTAGAATTTCATGGAGACCGAATTATATTTGCCAATGTTTCAGTGCGGGACGTCAAGCCCCACAGCTTGGATGGGTTACGACCTGATGAGTTCCTAGGCCTTACTCACACTTATAGCGTGCGCTGGTCTGAGACTTCAGTAGAGCGTCGGAGTGACAGGCGCCGTGGTGATGATGGTGGTTTCTTTCCTCGAACACTGGAAATCCATTGGTTGTCCATCATCAACTCCATGGTGCTTGTGTTTTTACTGGTGGGTTTTGTGGCTGTCATTCTAATGCGTGTGCTTCGGAATGACCTGGCTCGGTACAACTTAGATGAGGAGACCACCTCTGCAGGTTCTGGTGATGACTTTGACCAAGGTGACAATGGCTGGAAAATTATCCATACAGATGTCTTCCGCTTCCCCCCATACCGTGGTCTGCTCTGTGCTGTGCTTGGTGTGGGCGCCCAGTTCCTGGCCCTTGGCACTGGTGAGGTGATAAAAATGAATTGGGGATTTATCTCATGGGGTAGAACTAGGTATGGAGTTTGTTCAGAAAAGGTCTGTGGATCTTCTATCCAGAGGGGCAGACCTAAGGGATAAGGTGGCTCTAGCAAGGATGCGCGTATTCTATTGTAGATTTTCTGGATAGCAAAACTGGGGGAGATTGTTTTGCTGGAGGCCCTGGGTCTGGGAGAAGGGGGGCTGATTCCTCTGAAATTGCTAGAAGAGACACAGGTAAGGCCTAACATGGGCTTTCCACTACCGTCCTGCAGGCATTATTGTCATGGCACTGCTGGGCATGTTCAATGTGCACCGTCATGGGGCCATTAACTCGGCAGCCATCTTGTTGTATGCCCTGACCTGCTGCATCTCTGGCTACGTGTCCAGCCACTTCTACCGGCAGATTGGAGGCGAGCGTTGGGTGTGGAACATCATTCTCACCACCAGTCTCTTCTCTGGTGAGGACATTCCTTTCCCTGGTGGGCCTTTCTGGACTTAGGAATTAAGAATACATTGTGGCTGGGCACAGTAGCTCACACCTGTAATCCTAGCACTTTGGGAGACCGAGGCCGGAGGACCACTTGAGTCCAAAAGTTTGAGACAAGCCTAGGCAACATAGTGAGACCCTGTCTCTATAACAAAAAATTAGCTGGGCATGGTGGTTTACATCTGTAATTCCAGCTACTTGGGAGGCTGAGGCAGGAGGATTGCTTGAGTCTAGGGAGCCTGGGAGGTTGAGGCTACAGTGAGCCATGATTGCACCACTGCACTCTAGCTGGGGTGACAGAGTGAGACTGTCTCAAAAAAAAAGAACACATCATAGAACTTGGGATAGAGTCAGGATGAGGCTTGAAGGGAAGGAATATTGTAAAAGAAACAAGAAAACCAAAAAAGACAAGAATGCACTTCTTTTGAATAGTTTAACATTATAAAGCCCTCGCTGGGCACGGTGGCTCACGCCTGTAATCCCAGCACTTTGGGAGGCCGACGGTGGGCAGATCACAAGGTCAGGAGATCGAGACCATCCTGGTTAACAAGGTGAAACCCTGTCTCTACTAAAAATACAAAAATAAACATTAGCCGGGCATGGTGGCAGGCACCTGTAGTCCCAGCTACTCGGGAGGCTGAGGCAGGAGAACGGCGTGAACCCGGGAGGCAGAGCTTGCAGTGAGCCGAGATCGCGCCACTGCACTCCAGCCTGGGTGACAAAGCGAGACTCTGTCTCAAAAAAATAAAAATAAATAATATGTCCTAGGCAGTGTGGTAAGCACTCAGCAATAACTGTATGAAGTAGGTAATATTTCCATTCCACAGATGAGGAAACTGAACTAAAGGCTGCTTAAGTAACTTGTCTGAGATTATACTCCTAAAAAGTAGTGAACCAGGTTTCAGCAGTCTGACTTGTATTCTCACCCATTACACTAAAGTAACACCCTTTAATTTTTATTTTGAAGGTGGGCCCACTCTAAGCTTTCAAACCAGATTGCCCTTTCAAAGGCAGTAGTAGTCCCTGTTCTGAACCCTTTTTGTTCCCAATTCTAGGTGTCTGATTTATATCCCATCACATTTATATTTGAACCAAGGCTTTCTGAAAACAGGGCCTTAATCCAAAGAAATGTCTCATGCTAGGAATTACCAACTCCAAGGCAAGACAGGCCCCTGGAGGCAGGTGGATTTGTGTTACTCTCAGATTATGTAGTAGCTCACTGGATCCTTAATGACACCGGGATGGGGGGTGGTGGTGGTAAGATTAAGAGCAAAGAGGCCAGGCACGGTGGCTCAGGCCTGTGATCCCAGCACTTTGGGAGGCTGAGGTGGGTGGATCAAGAGGTCAGGAGATCGAGACCATCCTGGCTAACACGGTGAAACCCCGTCTCTATTAAAAATACAAAAAAATTAGCCAGGTGTGGTGGCACATGCCTGTAATCCCAGCTACTCGGGAGGCTGAGGCAGGAGAATGGCGTGAACCCGGGAGGCAGAGCTTGCAGTGAGCGGAGATCGTGCCACTGCACTCCAGCCTGGGCAACAGAGTGAGACTCAAAAAAAAAAAAAAAAAAAAAAAAAAAAAGCAAAGAGTAACGGGATCTGAAAGGGTGGAAGTGAAGGCAGTTGACTCTGTAGGGACATCCAGGAGCATAAGTCTGCTGTTAAGAGTGGCAGGCTGCTTCACCCCCCTCCCCTTTTGGTCCTGGATATAAGTGGGTACCCTTAGAGATGTAGCTCCTAGTGTTGACCCTCCCTCCGGGGGCCATCCCTGCAGTGCCTTTCTTCCTGACGTGGAGTGTGGTGAACTCAGTGCACTGGGCCAATGGTTCGACACAGGCTCTGCCAGCCACAACCATCCTGCTGCTTCTGACGGTTTGGCTGCTGGTGGGCTTTCCCCTCACTGTCATTGGAGGCATCTTCGGGAAGAACAACGCCAGCCCCTTTGATGCACCCTGTCGCACCAAGAACATCGCCCGGGAGATTCCACCCCAGCCCTGGTACAAGTCTACTGTCATCCACATGACTGTTGGAGGCTTCCTGCCTTTCAGGTATCCTCCCTTTATTCCATGGCTATCACTCTCAGGTTCCTGACCTCAACTTTTCCTGTCCCTACTCATCCAGTACCCTAACCCAACCCGCTGATCCCTGGTTCAGTGGTACCATTCAGAGATCATTAAATGGTTCCTCCTATCTCCAAGCAGGACTGAGCTTGAATCAGTTCAGATATAAGAGTGTCTCACTTATAAGGGCCTCCAGAGACATCTCCCCCTTCACCTTCCTGGTTTCTGACTTTAGTGTCTGTGGACATCATGTGGGGTTTAAAGCCCATTTGATGATCCATTTACTTTGTTGAATACCTCTTTGTGCCAGGCAAAGAATGAAGTGGAAAGTAAAATGGATAAGATCCCTGCCCTCAATCTATTAGGGAAGATATTCTTGAAGTGAGAGCAGCTAATCATAGGCAAAAAATCCCCATGAAGCCAGGAGATCTGGGGCAGAGAGTGGAGTGAACTCACTTTTCACAATGACCCAGCAACATGGGAGAGGGTGGGGGCTGGATTTCAGCCCAGCCACTGTGCACAGCCCTTTAATGCTGTGTATCATCTCTTTTCTTCACAGTGCCATCTCTGTGGAGCTGTACTACATCTTTGCCACAGTATGGGGTCGGGAGCAGTACACTTTGTACGGCATCCTCTTCTTTGTCTTCGCCATCCTGCTGAGTGTGGGGGCTTGCATCTCCATTGCACTCACCTACTTCCAGTTGTCTGGGGAGGATTACCGCTGGTGGTGGCGATCTGTGCTGAGTGTTGGCTCCACTGGCCTCTTCATCTTCCTCTACTCAGTTTTCTATTATGCCCGGCGTTCCAACATGTCTGGGGCAGTACAGACAGTAGAGTTCTTTGGCTACTCCTTACTCACTGGTTATGTCTTCTTCCTCATGCTGGGCACCATCTCCTTTTTTTCTTCCCTAAAGTTTATCCGGTATATCTATGTTAACCTCAAGATGGACTGAGTTCTGTGTGGCAGAAGTATTGCTGTTCTCTCCCTTTCTTCATGCCTCCTTGAGCTCTCCTACCAGCTTCTCTTCTGATTGACTGAATTGTGTGATGGCATTGTTGCCTTCCCCTTTGCCCTTTGGGCCTTCCTTCCCCAGAGAGGGCCTGGAAATTATAAATCTCTATTACATAAGGAGTATATATTTGAAATTTTTAAGTTGCCTTTAGTTTTGGTCCTGATTTTTCTTTTTACAATTATCAAAATAAAATTTGTTAAGAAAAAGGATCATGTAGTTGGAGGTTTTGGTCTGGATATAGGAACTCCAGCCCCGCGGTTAAGGGCACGGTCCTTTAGAAAGCCGAGCTGGCCACTGAATGCCCGAAGCTTGAGTTCTCCAGCCCAACTTGGGAACTCCCGGCGTGGGGAACCTACATTGCCAGAGCTGGGTTTCCGCGACTCAGCCGGTGCTCAGCATAACGGAAGTGGAGGAGTCGGACCTCTTTGTGGGAAGTGAATTGAATCACCTTGGCAACCCTCGGGGCGTGTGGCAACGCCCTTTCCGCCGGAAGTGGGTGTCAGAGCCTCCACGTGCTGTCCCTCCCCCTCCCCTTTTCGGCCCAGTAGCGGCGGCTCAGCTGCTGCCATGGAGCCCGCCGGCCTGGAGCAGCTCCTACGGGAGCTGCTGCTGCCGGACACCGAGCGCATCCGTCGGGTACGGGAGTAGGCATAACCGGGCCAGGGCGAGCGGGAGGTTGCGGGAAAGACCCGACTCTCACCCCTAGCTTCCCCCCAGGCCACGGAACAGCTCCAGATCGCTCTTCGGGCCCCCGCCGCTTTGCCGGCTCTCTGCGACCTGCTGGCCTCGGCGGCCGACCCCCAGGTGAGACCCTTGACTCTCCCCTCCGAGCTTCCCACTGTACGCCACTGGTCAAGCCCCAATATCCGCCCCCTGCGGTCCGCTCAGCACCCTCCTGCCCGGACCCCCACGTGCTTGTTTCCTCGTCCTAGATCCGCCAGTTTGCGGCGGTGCTGACCCGCAGACGACTGAACACCCGCTGGCGACGGCTGGCGGCGGAGCAACGGGAGAGGTGGGTTGGGCCTGGGTTGGGGCGGGGCCAGGCGGAGACTTTTCTTGGGCAGTCTGTGTACCAAACACCTGCCCCCTGTGTTCCAGCCTCAAGTCCCTGATCCTGACGGCCCTGCAGAGAGAAACAGAGTAAGTACCTACCCCCTTTTCTCGGGATCCTGACGACCTTGTCGGGGTTTCTGCCTTCCCTTTCAGTTCCAGGCTGGGACTTGTGGGGCAGGGACTTCAGTTCTAGACCCAAGGTGGAGTGAGAATTTTAAGGCTGTTTTGAAGACTGAAGTTCTTGAGGAAGGGTGACTATGATCTGCCAAACTCAAGTCAGAAGAGTAAGACTGAAATTCAGGCTAGTAAGACTGAACTTACCAGATTACATGCCCGCAGTGCTGCTGGGCTCCCTCTGAGCTGCTGTCTCATGTGTCCCAACTTGGTAAAGACCCTGTGCCCACACCTCCTGAAAGTTTCTCTCCTGGCTGCCTCATTGTGCCTGGCCACTATGTGCAGAGGAAGGTATTGGAGAGTGATAGAGGAGATCTCTCCTGTTTGCAGGCACTGTGTGAGCCTCAGCCTGGCCCAGCTTTCAGCCACCATTTTTCGAAAGGAAGGCCTGGAGGCCTGGCCACAGCTTTTGCAGCTTCTTCAGCACAGTACCCACAGCCCCCACAGCCCAGAGAGAGAGGTACCATCACATGGTTGGCAGGAGGGAGGGACTAAGAGGTGGGATAGACCATGTAAGCTTGTTCTCCAATCCTCTATTCTTGGACAGATGGGGCTTTTGCTGCTAAGTGTGGTGGTGACCTCCCGGCCCGAGGCCTTCCAACCCCACCACCGGGAGCTGCTTCGGCTTCTGAATGAGACTCTTGGTGAGGTGGGCTCTCCTGGGCTACTCTTCTACTCCCTGCGCACTCTGACCACCATGGCCCCCTACCTCAGCACTGAAGACGTGGTGAGATGTGGGCCCTCGTATCTTTGACTCCCTTTTCTCAGGCCTTCATGTCCTCATCTGTAAAAGTTACAAAACTGCTTTGGATTCTTTACCTGCCTGTGGCCCTTCCTGAGAATTGAGAGGGGATGCTGTAGGTGGGCCTGGCTATTATGCCTGGGCTCCTCCTCGCAATTCAGGCTATGAGGAAGCTGGCAGCTGCTGGGGTGTGAGATTAGGCTGCATCATGCTGTCTGTGATGTGTCCCTCAGCCTCTCGCTCGGATGTTGGTGCCCAAGCTGATCGTGGCTGTGCAGACTCTGATCCCCATAGATGAGGTGAGGACAGGTGGGCAGGAGCTCTGTTGGAAGAAGAGTGCAAAAGTGACCAGCTTGGCCCACTGAAGAAGAGCATGGTAACCTTGTGCCTTGTTTGTCAGGCAAAGGCCTGTGAGGCCCTTGAGGTTTTGGATGAACTGTTGGAGTCAGAGGTGCCCATCATCACCCCCTACCTCTCTGAGGTCCTCACATTCTGCCTGGAGGTGAGCCTGGAGTGGACATGGCCCCTGCTACATGCTCTGTTGGGACTTTCCTTCCCTGTCTCTGATTCTTATTATTCTCTGGACAGGTGGCTAGAAATGTGGCCCTGGGCAATGCGATACGCGTACGTGTTCTCTGCTGCCTCACTTTCTTGGTCAAAGTCAAGAGCAAGGTGAGTGAGTGCCCATTGACACACATCACCCTACCCACTCTCCACCCTTAGTCTCACTCCTGGGACTTTCGGTTCATCTCAGGATATCTAAAGTACTGTGGGGGTTCAAGCCTTGGCCTAGCCTCACCCCAGCTCCTGCCTGGGAGATTGGGAATTTTCTGTCGGACCCTTTATGGCCTGGAAGACTGGAATTTTTAATGTGAGCCCATCCTGGGAGCAGATTCTTAGGGACATTGTTCCACCTTCTCTGTCAAGGCCTTACTGAAGAATCGTCTCCTGCCACCCTTGCTACACACCCTTTTCCCCATTATGGCTGCTGAGCCCCTGCCAGGCCAGTTGGATCCTGAGGACCAGGATTCAGAAGAGGAAGAGTTGGAGATTGAGCTGATGGGGGAGACTCCCAAGCATTTTGCTGTACAGGTGAGATGTGGGGCAGGACAGAGCGGGGAGGTGTTAGGTGGCTGTGGGAGGTTGGGGAGGCAGAGATGGAGTCGAGCAAAGTAAGTCTCCCCATCCTATCTTAGGTTGTGGACATGCTGGCGCTACACCTGCCCCCCGACAAGCTCTGTCCCCAGCTGGTAAGTGTGGCTCTGTCCTTCTGGTGTCCCTACCTCCAAGTGTGCGTAGTCCCCTGAGGCCAAGGACGTTTAGACCCTGGGAGGTGTGAAGGTCTATTTCCACAGGAATGGGCAGGCTCTTGCTGGGGTTTCAGAAGCGTGCCACATGCTTCCCTAGATGCCCATGCTGGAAGAGGCCTTGCGGAGCGAGAGCCCATACCAGCGCAAGGCTGGACTCCTGGTGCTGGCCGTGCTGTCTGACGGAGCTGGTGACCACATCAGGCAGAGGTATCTATTCCCCTATCCCAGGGTGAGGGTTGCCCACGGGGAGGACCGTGGCTGTCATGGTTTACGCTTGTTGTTCAAGCTTATTTATCAACAGCATTTTCCCCCATTCTCAAAAGTGTCCTGGCTTAGAAGATAAATGACATGGCTTCCCAGCTGTAGGGATCAGGGGCTGCTGCCCACCCTCTGGTGACGGGAAAAGCCTTGTTTTTTCCAGGGAAAATGAAGAGAACAGGTCAGCCTAGGGCTGTCAGGTATAGCTCCTCAGCCTGTGTCCTCTTGTCCTGCCCTATCCAGACTGCTGCCCCCACTGCTGCAGATCGTGTGCAAGGGCCTGGAGGACCCCTCGCAAGTTGTACGCAATGCTGCGCTATTTGCCCTGGGCCAGTTCTCAGAAAACCTACAGGTGAACCAGGCTGAATGTGGGAGCCACCACTTGAATGTCCCCTTCCCCTCACCTTTCATCTCTTCAAGCATCCCTGCTGCCGTCGCACTCTTGTATGTGCCCTGCAGGTGAACCTGACTCAAGCCCTGCTTGCTCCCTCCCCCAGCCCCATATCAGCAGCTATTCAAGGGAGGTGATGCCACTGCTCCTCGCCTACCTGAAGTCGGTGCCTCTTGGACACACACACCACCTAGCCAAGGCCTGCTATGCCCTGGAGAATTTCGTGGAGAACTTAGGTAGTGATGGCAGTGGGGAGCTTGGGGGAGGGGGATGAGGCAGCGGCTTTGGCTGAATGTGCAGGATGTGCATCTCCTTGCATTGCTGCCTATGGTGGGGGAAAGTGTGTGATGGCGCCACAAAGGGGTTTCCGCCTGGAGGGAGGTGGGCTTGCAGGTAGGAGATCTGAGTTGGTTGATAGAGGAGCATCCTTTCCCACAGGGCCCAAAGTGCAGCCCTACCTTCCGGAGCTTATGGAATGCATGCTGCAGCCTCTGAGGAGCCCCAGCAGTCCCCGGGCCAAGGAGCTGGCTGTGAGCGCCCTAGGAGCCATTGGTGAGGAGAGGCAGGAGGCAGGGATGTGGGGTTCACCCAAAGGCCCTGTGGCTGGTGGTCCCTGCCCTTTCCAGTTCTGATTCTGTCCTTCCATCCTGCAGCTACAGCTGCCCAGGCCTCGCTGCTGCCCTACTTCCCTGCCATCATGGAGCACCTGCGGGAATTCCTGTTAACAGGCCGTGAGGACCTTCAGCCTGTGCAGATCCAGAGCCTGGGTGAGTGAGAGGCTCCCAGGTGGGGATCCCAGTGCCAGCAAAGGGCCGATGCTCACCTGGTGTTGACAGAGATTGCCCCCACGGGAGCACGGATATCTTCCTTCTCATCAAAGGGGGTGTTCTTCACCCTGTACCAAGGGGTAGGGGGGGATTTCTGAATCCCTCCCAGCTACCACCTTTGGTCCTATAGCCCACCTCCACCTCCTGGTGCTAATGGAGCCCTTGCTTCCACAGAGACACTGGGAGTGCTGGCACGAGCGGTGGGGGAGCCCATGAGGCCGCTGGCTGAGGAATGCTGCCAGCTGGGTCTGGGCCTCTGCAACCAGGTAGACGACCCTGACTTGCGGCGCTGCACGTGAGTGATCCCTCACCCTGCCTCTGCCCTTGTCCCCACCCCTCCTTTCTGCCCACTGGACCCACTGGACCCACTGGAATCCCCACCCCAGACTCTAGTCCTCTGGTTCGGACCGTAGCCAGGTGTTCCCGGGCTCCCCCATCCTGTCTGGTGGTAGCAAGCAGGACCATACAGCTTCTTCTGCCTGCTTTGACCAGGTACAGCCTATTTGCCGCCTTATCGGGTCTGATGGGCGAGGGCCTGGCACCCCACTTGGAACAGATCACCACGCTCATGCTGCTGTCACTGCGTTCTACCGAGGGCATTGTGGTGAGCAGAGGGTGGGCTGGGCCAGGCCAGCCCTGCAATGGGATTTATCTCCTGGGCCTAGCTGAGCCAAAGTCCTTGCCATGCCTCCACTCCAGCCTCAGTATGACGGGAGCAGCTCCTTCCTTCTGTTTGACGATGAGAGTGATGGGGAAGAAGAGGAGGAGCTCATGGATGAGGATGTGGAAGAAGAGGATGACTCAGAGATCTCAGGGTGCGGAGGGGTGCTCTTCTGATCAGGAATCTAGACTTTGGTTTTAGACCAGGGGACTAGTGCTGGATCTGCTCCTCTTGGTGCCTGATCACCACTGCTTCCCCATCTTACTCTAGGTACAGCGTGGAGAACGCCTTCTTTGATGAGAAGGAAGACACCTGTGCTGCCCTAGGGGAGATCTCTGTGAACACCAGGTGAGCATTCGCCCTTCCCTGGCACTGAAAACCCTGCCTGGGGGCCCCTTACCCATGACTGTGTCTCTCTCTGTAGTGTGGCCTTCCTTCCATACATGGAAAGTGTCTTCGAAGAAGTATTTAAACTGCTGGAGGTGAGGGGGCCAGTGGGTAGAGTGGGTGGGGTTCTCAGGCTGGGGGCCCTGTATTCACAGTGCACACAGCAGACACATCCCGCCCCTCCTCATCTTGCAGTGCCCTCACCTGAATGTGCGGAAGGCAGCCCATGAGGCTCTGGGTCAGTTTTGCTGTGCACTGCACAAGGCCTGTCAAAGCTGCCCCTCAGAACTCAACACTGCTGGTGAGAAGGAGAGGCTGGGCCAGGCTGAGGGTTCTTGGGGCACGGCAGGGCCTGACCAGTGCTTCAGCCAATGATGTCCCCAGCTTTGCAGGCTGCCCTGGCCCGAGTGGTGCCATCCTACATGCATTCAGTGAACAGGGAGCGGGAGCGCCAGGTGGTGATGGCCGTGCTGGAGGCCCTGACAGGGGTGCTCCGCAGCTGTGGGACCCTCACTCTGAAGCCCCCTGGGCGCCTGGCTGAGCTCTGTAGCATGCTCAAGGCTGTGCTGCAGAGGAAGGTGAGCAGGGCAGGTGGGCTTCGGGAAGGAGAGGTGCCGGGCCCAGGTTGGGGACTGGGTACAAGTCCACCCCCATACCCCGATGAAAAGAGAAGGGGCATGAAAGCTCTGGCTAAGTTGAGCTACTTCTTCTTGTAGACAGCCTGTCAGGATACTGACGAGGAGGAGGAAGAGGAAGATGATGATCAGGTGAGCGCCAGGGATGAAAACGGACCAGGTGGTCCAGGCAGTCTCCACAGGGACAGGGGTGGACAGTGTATTTGTTCTTGGCCTCGGGCAGCCAGGGCCACTAAAAGAGATTGGTAATGGTCAGAGAGACACAACCCTGATCCCATTAAGCCAGTGGGAGTTCAGGGAAGGAAAGCAGTGTGGACTGGGGTGTGCTTAGAGCAATAGGCAGGAGCAGAAGAGCTAGGGGAAGAAGCTGGGCCATGAAAACACCCAGTCTGAGAGGGACCAGCCCTATCAACCAAGGGCAGCCCCAGGGACCCCTGCAGCTGGTAGCAGAGCATGGTAGGGAGGTGTGCAGTCACTGAGCTGGCCCTGGTGCTCCAGCCCCTGACCTGGCTCCACAGGCTGAATACGACGCCATGTTGCTGGAGCATGCTGGAGAGGCCATCCCTGCCCTGGCAGCCGCGGCTGGGGGAGACTCCTTTGCCCCATTCTTTGCTGGTTTCCTGCCATTATTGGTGTGCAAGACAGTGAGTGTCCATCTTCTGGCTTCAAGCCCTAGTCCCCTCATGCACCCAGTGCCCACCTCAGCCTTTATCCTTGGCCCAGGCTGATCTGTACTCCTTCCTGTTCTCCCCCATCAGAAACAGGGCTGCACAGTGGCAGAGAAGTCCTTTGCAGTGGGGACCTTGGCAGAGACTATTCAGGGCCTGGGTGCTGCCTCAGCCCAATTTGTGTCTCGGCTGCTCCCTGTGCTGTTGAGCACCGCCCGAGAGGCAGACCCTGAGGTGCGAAGCAATGCCATCTTTGGGCTGGGTGTGCTAGCAGAGCACGGGGGCCACCCTGCCCAGGAGTATCCTTGGCTCACAGGAAGGGAGGGACTGGGGGTTGGGGGAGTGTCCCCAGGGCTTGCAGGTGGGCAAGGTCTACCTGAGTGTGTGGCCATTCCTTGACTGTGGATCAGACACTTCCCCAAGCTGCTGGGGCTCCTTTTTCCCCTCCTGGCGCGGGAGAGACACGATCGTGTCCGTGACAACATCTGTGGGGCACTTGCCCGTCTGTTGATGGCCAGTCCCACCAGGAAACCAGAGCCCCAGGTGAGGGAGGGAGACATCAGGCAGAGCCTGGAAGCTGAGGTGGGAGGGTGGTGGAGGGCAGGGCAGGTTGGCCTGAGACATTTGTGTGCCCAGGTGCTGGCTGCCCTACTGCATGCCCTGCCACTGAAGAAGGACTTGGAGGAGTGGGTCACCATTGGGCGCCTCTTCAGCTTCCTGTACCAGAGCAGCCCTGACCAGGTAACCTTGTGGCTGGCAGCCCTCAGAGGGGAGCATGCTGCTCCACTCAGTGACAGGCACTGTCTGCTGATGAGGCTCAGGAGCTCCAGGCTGTCGGTTGCACCTGATGCAAGGTGACAGTTTCAGCTGTTCTTTTGATACTCCCTGCGCCATTTCTTATTTGTCTGCAAGGATTGGCAGCCAGTCCTGTGATGGGACAGGAAGGACTTCCTCTACGTAGCATTTTTCCGGAGGAAGCTCCATTTCTACCCTTTGGTCTGAGCCAGAAGTTGCAGTTTTCCCAGGCTGGTTTCCTAAACCAGGGCCCTTTCAAACTGCTCTGTGGAGCTCTGGGTACCTCTGGGCCACCACACCATACATTTCAATTAGATCAGCTCTGCTCTCTGAAGAGATTTTGGCTGTACCAAGTAGCTAGGTTTGGAGTCATGTCAGAGTGTTTGTGTCATCCTTGTCTTACACCTTTAGAGATTGTTGTGTAGGTGGAGCTCCTGGGTGTCTGGGTTTCTTTAGGTCTTGAGGCTATGACTTTAATCATCATGTTCCACATCCCCCATTCCCTCCAAAAAAAGTCATTACCACCAAGTTTCACTGGTCCTGCTCATGTTCATAGTTGTCTTGGATGCCTGTGAATCAGTACCAGGTGCAACCACCCCAATAAGAGACTCTGCCACTCCTTGGTCCTGACCACCCGCCTAGACCTGGGGTCCGGGGCTGCTGCCCTGAGTCAGCCACTCTTTCCTCACAGGTTGTAGATGTGGCTCCAGAGCTCTTGCGTATCTGCAGCCTCATTCTGGCTGACAACAAGATCCCACCAGGTGAGGATAGGAGTCACGGGCAGGGGCTTGGGGGAGGCTGGGAGTGGCAGGGCTCAGAGGACCTGGGGCAGCGAGGCTTTAGGAGCCCCAACCTTTCTCCCTCCCTCTGCACCCAGACACCAAGACCGCACTGTTGCTGCTCCTGACATTCCTGGCCGAACAGCACGCCGACAGCTTCCAGGCAGCTCTGGGCTCACTGCCTGTTGACAAGGCTCAGGAGCTCCAGGCTGTGCTGGGCCTCTCCTAGATCGCAGGCTGCAGCCAGTCCAGAGAGAACAGAGCCTGCCCAGGCCTTAAGACCACCTCTCAGCCCAGTTCAGTTCTGCCTTACCAAAGATTCTGGGACTCATAGCCATTTGGCGCCAGCCCTACTTGCTGCCTTACAGGGCTGTCCCTGAGGCTGGATCTGTTACAAATGAGTCATGACATCATACTGTAATAAAAGCAGCTTGTTTTCTGCTTGAACAATAGCTTTGAGAGCAAGAAGGCTGGAAATGCACATTCAGAAATGAAGTAAGCAGGACCCAGTGAGCCATGACATGGTTTACTAGAAGTGGCCGGTTTCCTGGCAGCTTTGTAAATGGACTCTAACCTTGGTGGAATCTGGGCCCCGGCTGGATCAGGAGGCGACCATATGGCTTTTCTTGTTCCACGCGAAGAATCTGTTGCGCTGAGAGCACTGGTCAAGAGGGGAGGAGAGGGCAGGTTGGGGGAGTCCCTGTATGGGCCTCTGGTCTGTGTGTCCCTGCGCCACATACACACACACACATGCATACACTCACCCAGAAGCATGTAGAAGACCCGAGCGGCCATCCTGCGGGGGCTGAGGGGTGACACCAGGCTGCTGAAGTCGGGCTCCCTGTTGGCCTGCAGCTCCAGTGCCACTGCCCTATAGGGACCAAGAACCATTAGCAGAGGCTTCAACCCGGGTCCACCCCATCAAGGTGCCACCCCCTGGTACCTGTGCACAGCTTCCAGTGAGAGCAGCTCGAGCTCTGGGGGCAGCACCAAAGGCATCTCCATGGGCACCTCAGGGAGTTCAGGCACCACGGGCAACGCAGGAGGTTCTGGCTGTTCCACCTCAGCCCAGGCCCTAGGAGAACATGGGAGTAAGAGCAGGGAAGGTGGCAGCTGTGACAGTGACAAGGGGCATACCCATCCCAGTAGCCATTTCTACCACCTGGCCAAAGGCTGTGGGCCCTGGCTCCCATGGAGCCTGGCTGCTTACCACCGTTCTTCTGGTGGGATGAGGCTGATGCGGGACTTCTCCTCTTCAGCTGCCTCTAGGGAGAGCTCTGTTCGGGGAGGAAAGGCACTGGTGGGTGTCTGCTTGGGTGGTAGTTAGGGCCTTGTGGCCACCTGGTATAAGTAGATGGCAGAGCTATGCAGTGACTTGTTTTTTTTTTTTTTGAGACGGAGTCTCGCTCTGTCGCCCAGGCTGGAGTGCAGTGGCCGGATCTCAGCTCACTGCAAGCTCCGCCTCCCAGGTTTACGCCATTCTCCTGCCTCAGCCTCCCGAGTAGCTGGGACTACAGGCGCCTGCCACCTCGCCCAGCTAGTTTTTTGTATTTTTTAGTAGAGACGGGGTTTCACCATGTTAGCCAGGATGGTCTCGATCTCCTGACCTCGTGATCCGCCCGTCTCGGTCTCCCAAAGTGCTGGGATTACAGGTTTGAGCCACCGCGCCCGGCCTGCAGTGACTTGTTAAAAGCACACAGGTGAGAGAGCAGAGGAGGAGCAGTCCGTGCTTGCTTATGTCACACACACACGCCTTCACTCATGAAATAGCTTGAGCAGTTGGGATACTAGTTTCCTGGGACAGTGGTAAGGGTGGTGGTCCCACTGCCCCTCTTCTCTAGGTGCTTACCTGAAGACAGCATAAGGGGAACACTGGGCTCCAGGGCCTCCCTCGGGACCTGGGGACAGGAGAAGCAGAACTAAGACCCCAAGCATCTGGGACTACGGCCTCAGAAGGCACAAAGCCAGTGAGCCTGTGCTGTTGGCCCTCATAGCAGGGGAGGGCAGCCAGTTGGTCAGGCAGACCCTGGCACTGGGGCGATGCAGGCAACAGGTGGTGCAGTTACCTCGATCTCACTCGGAACTTCAGCCTTTCTCTCCTCCTCAGCAGCCTCCTCGGGCAGCTCTCGCCTGAGTGCTCTTGGGGGTGGCTGGGCACAGCGAGTCCAGAGACCCAGTAGTTCAAGGGGTAGCCAGCCAGCTGTGGACAAGAAGGCGGTAGGCACAGGGTTTGAGGCGTGAGGAGCACCAGGAATGAGAAATTGGTTTTGAGGATCCTTTGTGCCCACCCCCCGCCATTCTTACAGAGAGCTGGGGTTCTGAACAACTCTGCAGGGCCTGTGATGGTCCTCTCAGGAGGCTGCACCTTGGGCTGTGTGGTGGGGAAAGGTCAGAAGCCTCATTATGAAGCAGTCACTCCTCAGGTCCCCTTTGCCTCTTTGCAATGCATTGTTCTGGGGCTTCTGGACTTCCCCAGCTTTTGGGCTCGTGACCCTGCCTGCCCTGCTCATTGCTAAAAGAAGGACTTTTTAACCTGGTGCCCATGGGTATGACAGTTGGGGTCACTAAAGGACCATGAAGAGTTGTACATGTGCAAACCCACATCGCCTGCATTTTCTGGAGAAAGGAGGGGATTTTTCATCAAGTTCCCAATCCTACCCCCAACCTCCTGAGGAATTTAGAAGGCTCAGCCTGCATGTGCCCCTGGTATCCCTGCCTCCTTCCCTCTGCCCGCAAAGCCTGGGCTGTACTCACACATTCCCAGCAGTGGGCTCTGGTTTGCAGTTGTTCCCGGAATTTCTCCCGGGAGATCTGAGTCTCCTTGTCCCAGAACAGTAACCGGCGACGACGGCGGCGAGGAGGTGGGAAGACTGGGGGCCGCCTCCGCTGAGTGGGGAGGGCAGGTAGGGGCAAGGCTGCCTGTTACTCTTTTTCCTGTCATTCTGGTGGACTGCTAACAGGGCCCCACACCCCGCCCCTAGAGGAACCTGGGGAAAGGGCTTGTGTGGGGTCTTCATGCACTTGAGCAGCTCATATCTTGCATAAGGGTACCCATCTGGAAAGTGCAGGCCAGACACAATGGGGTGTAGAAAGGGACATCTTTTATCATCTGCACTAAGGACCCCTGTAAGCTAGCAGTGGCCCTGGACTTGGGGAGGCAGCCCTGGTGGGGGAGGGCAAAGAGGAGGAGGAGGAGGAGGAGGATTGGAAGGGATGCTACTCACCTCTGGGCTGGGTGGGGCTGGCAGACGCAGTTCCTCTGGGGGGGTCACTTCTGCAACAACACCCAAGGTTGTGGCTCTGTCCCATAAGCCCCTTACCCCTTGCAGATACCAGGGCAAGAAACTGCAGGGTCCTCCCTTTAACGAGTTGGTATATAGAGCCCTTGTCTGCAGCAGTATAGAAGTACTCCCAGAAAAGCCCCTGGGGCGTGGTGGGCACTCACCCATGAGTAGGGCCCCAGGCTCCCAGCCTGTCGGCCTCAGCTCCTCAGGGACCAGGACTGGAAGTGCCTCTGCTATTCCTTCCACCCTGAAGGGAAATGGGCAAGAGAAATGAGAAGACCCTTCCCAGCACCAACACCCTACCTGGTCTAGGAATTCCTGCCCTTACTCTGCAGGAGCTGGAGGTGAGAGCCGGGGGACTACGATTTCACCCTCTGGGACCCGGAGCTCCTCCCTTAGCTCTGTGGAGAGAGAATCAGAGTTCAGAGGATGGAAAAGGAGAAATGGGAACATTGTCCAGTCCCAGACTGCCCACGCCAGGGGTCTGACCATCCAGCTCCAGGCGGGCCCTATGCTGCCAGAGACACCTACTTTCTAACAAGATAGCTTCGTCTTCCTCTGCGATCAGCAGGTCCAGGTCTCGGCGGCTGACCTCTGGGAGCTCCTGTTCACCCTGTCCAGAGAGAAGAGCAAGGGGAGGGGATTCAATAACATTTCTGAAAAAGGCAAGTGGATCCAGGAGAGTGGATCCCAGAGGCATGTCACAGGGCCAGGTTCAAGGAAGCCACTGGGTGCTCAGGTGCCAGGGACAGAGAATAGGGAAATGGAGACAGAAAAGGCAGGACTCTGGGGACAGAGAGAAGTAGATGCAAGGGGGCTGGACCTCAGGCCCTGTGTGCAGGGAACAACTCACCTCAATCCGCAGCATCCGTATGGGCTCTGCCTCCTGGATCGTGATGGCCTCAGGGGGCAGCACAGTGACCAGAATCCTGTCTGGAGGAACAGGGGAGTCACCAGCCTCTCTGCTTCTTTCCAAATTCCCACAGCCATGCAGTCAGGCAAAAGCATGGACTCTGAAGTCAAGGTAACCTGGATTCTAATCAGACCCAGGCTAATCTCTGGCATCCTGACCCTGGCTACACTGCTTAACCACTGTGAGCCTCACTTTCCTCATCAGTAAAATGGGGAGGCTGGGCGAAATGGCTCATACCTGTAATCCCAACACTTTGGATTGCTTGAGCCCAGGAGTTTGAGGCCAGCCTGGGCAACATAGCGAGAGACTGTCTCTACAAAAAATTTAAAAACTAGCCAGGTGTGGTGGCTCATCCCTGTGGTCCCAGCAACTCTGGAGGCTGAGGTGGAAGGATTGCTTGAGCCCTGGAGGAGGAGGTCAAGGCTGCAGTGATCTATGATCATACCATTGCACTCCAGCCTGGGGAAAAAAAAAAAAAAGCCAAGTGTGGTGGCTTATGCCTGTAATCCCACCACTTTGGGAGGCTGAGGTGGGTGGATCACCTGAGGTCAGAAGTTTAAGACCAGGCCGGGCGCAGTGGCTCAAGCCTGTAATCCCAGCACTTGGGGAGGCCGAGACGGGTGGATCACGAGGTCAGGAGATCGAGACCATCCTGGCTAATTCGGTGAAACCCCATCTCTACTAAAAAATACAAAAAAACTAGCCGGGCGACAAGGCGGACGCCTGTAGTCCCAGCTACTTGGGTGGCTGAGGCAGGAGAATGGCGTAAACCCGGGAGGCGGAGCTTGCAGTGAGCTGAGATCCGGCCACTGCACTCCAGCCTGGGCGGCAGAGACTCCGTCTCAAAAAAAAAAAAAAAGAAGTTCGAGACCAGCCTGGCCAACATGGCGAAAACCCATCTCTACTAAAAATACAAAAATTAGTTGGGCGTGGTGGTGCATGCCTATAATTCCAGCTACTTGGGAGGAGAATTGCTTGAATCCGGGAGGCAAAGATTGCAGTGAGCCTAAAGTGCACCACTGTATTCCAGCCTGGGCCTACAAAGTAATACTCTGTCTCTCAAAAAAAAAAAGATAAGAAATCTGACCTCAGAGGACTCTTGTGAGGTACTGATTAGGTTACACACATAAACTGTCCCTTGTGGGGCACGGTGGCTCACGCCTGTAATCCCAGCACTTTGGGAGGCCGAGGCGGGCGGATCACCTAAGGTCAAGAGTTTGAGACCAGCCTGGCCAATGTGGTGAAACCCCATCTCTACTAAAAATATAAAAATTCGCTGGGCATGGTATTGCGCGTCTGTAATCCCAGCTGCTAGGGTGGCTGAGGCGGGAGAATTGCTTGCAGTGAGCCGAGATCGCACCACTGCACTCCAGCCTGGGCGACACAGTGAGACTCTGTCTCAAAAAAAAAAAGGGCCCCTCACAGGGCCGGGCTCTTAAGCTCAAAAATGGTAATTTCTACAGCTCTTGGGCCTGCCTATGCCTCTCACCAGAAAGAAGGTTCTCTCTGCTGACCTGGCTTCCTGGGCTCTGTAGGGACTTCAGGAGGGATCTCTTCAACTCTCTCTGGAATTGCAGCCTCTAAGAGGTGTCGAATCTTTGGGGAGGGATTGGAAACAAAAGATAGGGTTCAGCTTCAGCCCCCTGCTTTCCCACTTTCACAACCTTCTTCAACAATGCACAGTAATCTCCTTTTATGCCTAATTCTTGTTGCACTGACATCAGCTTGCAGTAAACTCACCCGCCATCTGGCCTCCTTTCCTCAGTTCCTGTTCTCACCTCCCTTCCCAACCCAAACCCCAGTTATCTAGCCCTCATCAATTTGTGCAAGAAGGCCAGGCGTGGTAGCTCACGTCTATAATCCCAGCACTTTGGGAGGCCAAGGTGGGTGGATCAGTTGAGGTCAGGAGTTCGAGAGCAGCCTGGCCAACATCATGAAACCCCATTTCTACTAAAAATACAAAAATTAGCCGGGCGTGGTGGTGGTGCCTGTAATTCCAGCTACTCGAGAGGTGGAGACAGGAGAATTGCTTGAACTCAGGAAGTGGAGGTTGCAGTGAGCTGAGATTGCTCCACTGCACTCCAACCTGGGAGACAGAGCAAGACTGTCTCAAAAAAAAGAAAAAAAAAAAAATTGTGCAAGAAGCAGTGCATCGTCAACTGTTGTGGTTGACAGAGGTGAACAAAAAAGATTCTTGATCTTAAGGAAGTCTAGTGGGGAGACAAGGTTGTATGTAACCCCTCAAGAGTCAAGGCAAAGGGTAAAACAAGGCCCTAGCAAAGTGCTGAGTTCCCAAACTGCATTTGGTTCCAGCTAAGACTGGGATAAATATTTCATAGAGAAGGGCAGCATTTAAGCCAGGTCTGTAAGAATATGTAGAACTCGACTTGTAGAGGATGAGGGGTGACCATTATGGGCTAGGGAAACAGCACAAGCAAAGACATGAATGTGGTATCATTGAGGCATAAGGGGCAAACTAGTGTTTAGGAGCCACCAGATGCCCAGAGGACTGAGAGAGAAGTCTGGGGATGACTAGTTCTAAACCAGGGTATGTGCCGGGCATGGTGGTTCACGCCTGTAATCACAGCACGTTGGGAAGCCAAGGCGGGTGGATCGCCTGAGGTCAGGAGTTCAAGACCAGCCTGACCAACATGGTGAAACCCCGTCTCTACTAAAGATACAAAAATTAGCCAGGCATGGTGGCAGGCACTTATAATCCCAGCTACTTGGGAGGCTGAGGCAGGAGAATCGCTTGACCAGAGGAAGTGGAGGTTGAAGTGAGCCAAGATCACACCACTGCACTCCAGCCTGGGTGACAGAGACTCCATCTTAAAAAATAGTAATAATAGGCCAGGCGCAGTGGCTCACACCTGTAATCCTAGCACTTTGGAAAGCCAAGGTGGGTGGATCACCTGAGGTCAGGAGTTCGAGACCAGCCTGGCCAATATGGCGAAACCCCATGTCTACTAAAACTAAAAAAAAAATGGGCCAGGCGCTGTGGCTCATGTCTGTAATCCCAGCACTTTGGGAGGATGAGGCGGGCGGATCATGAGGTCAGGGGTTCGAAACCAGCCTGGCCAGCATGGTGAAACCCTGTCTCTACTAAAATTACAAAATTATTTGGGCATGCTGGCGAATGCCTGTAGTCCCAGCTACTTGGGAGGCTGAGGCAGGAAAATCACTTGAACCAGGGAGGCAGAGGTTGCAGTAAGCTGAGATCGTGCCACTACACTCCAGCCTAGGCCACAGAGCAAGATCCTGTCTCAAAAATAATAATAATAATAGTAATAAAATAAAAAAATAAACTGGGGCATGGAGAGCCCCAAATGCTAGTAATCTGTTGGCAGCAGGAACCACTGTTCAAATGGGGAACTAAGGAAGGAGGTGACATTAAGCTGTTGGAGTATTGGGAATAGATGGAGGAGGACAGGGGTAAGAAAGCCCAGTACAGAGAGATGAGAGCCTGGATTAGGGCCTCGGCAGTGAAAACAGTGTGGAGACAAGTGGGGACAAGAGCTGCCTCCAGTGGGGAAACCATCTGATCAGATTGGCCCCAAGTAGATAAGTACAGGGGGCTTTGCCTGGATGGATCCACCTTGGCAGTCCCCTTGTTACCACCTCCCGTGGGAGAGAGCTGTGGCAAGCTTCCTTCCCCAACCCCAATATCAGAGTGACACAGGGACAGCACTCCCCTTCTGCATTGTCAATTCACGAGTCTGGGGGAATAAGCCCTACCTGAGGGATATCGAAAGGACTAGGAAGTCTGGGATCCACAGACATCATCCCAAAAAAGGGATCTGGAGCATCTTCTAGGGTTTCCATCATGGCCAGGTGGTTAGGAAGCAGTAGGCTGGGTCTGGGAGAGAATGTAGGCCGTCAGGGACTGAGGCTGAGCTAGGCTGAGGCCAAATTAGCAGGTGTTCCATCAAAGGCCCAGGGAACACTCACAGCTCAGTCTCCATATCTATTCGGATCTGCAGCTGGGCACGGTGGAGGCGCTCCAAGATGTGCTGGATGTCCTCTGTGGGCAGGGAGGGCGAGGTAGACAGCCAGCTTAGCAGACAGCTGCTCAGCCCGCCCCACCTCTGAGGGTTCCCAGCCTTACCCACGAGGTACTGGCATTGTTGAGAATAGACGCGGATCACACCGATCTGAAGTTGGGCTGAGAGATAAAGGGAGAAGCGGGGCCGTGGCAGGCCGGGCTGCGGGGGTTGCACTCGTACCAGCACATAATTGAGGATTTCCTCGCTGGGGAACAATGGGCCGTGATTACCGCTGCGCCCAGGACTGGGCCCACAGCGTTGCCCACCCCATCCCCTAACTCACCCCCCGCCCCAGGCCCTCCTTCCCTTTTCTGGGCCTTACCAGGTCTTCACCACATTCACCCTCAGGTATTCGCGCTTCACCAACCGGCTGCCGCGCGTCGCTGCCAGCCTGAAGTGGGTGGGGAAGGTTGGAAAATGGGGACGGAGGGGGAGCTGTCAGGCTGGGATCCCGGCCAGCATCCCCCATCGCACGCCCACGGGCCCCACCCTTACCAGATGGTGGCAAAGCAGCCGGTGTGGCGCTGAAGCACGTTGGGATAGTAGAACATCGTCCCTCTGGCCTTTCACCCTCAACTCCACCAGATTGCCGTTTGGATCTGAGTCGGAATTCTTTAGGGCACAGAATTCCCAACACCTTGGAGAGAAGTCAGGATTTGGACTTCTCTGGTGGCAAGGTGGGTGCACCCAGAAAACCAAGTTAATGAGGCAATGAACAATTGGTGTATACACGATTACCGGGATAACTGAGATGCAGGAGATGGGCGCCCCTCTCTGTGGACCCTCAGTGGATCCGCTCGCCACGTGATGCGTCGAATTTGAGCCTTCTGGGTTGGGTTCCAGGTTGGAGATGCAGAGCTCCAAGGGGACGCCCGGGCCGGAATCCAAAACAGGTCCCGAGGGAGCACGGTGTCCTCCACAGCAGGCCTCGGTCCTCGAGCGCTGGGAGCGATATCAGGCCCCTGGGACTTTCACTGGCTTGGGCGGCCGCGGTGTGGGTCCGGGATGCCTCCCGCAGGACTAGATGGCACCGCGGGAAGCGCACGCTCCGGAGCCCCGCACCTCGCTCCTCATTAGATGGCGGCTTTTGCCAGGACAGCCAATGGGGAACAGGGGTCGGGTCGGGAGCGCCAAGTAGCCTAGGCTCGAGGCAACAGGGTCTCCCGAGGCAGCCAGCAAACCAATCATAAGGGCTCTGCGTGCCGCTGGGGTCCATTGTGAGGTGTTCTGACCAATGGGATCTGGTTCTCGCCTCTAGTAACAGGCGCTCCTTCCTTGACCAATGAGCGCATCCCCGCCGCTCGCCTCTAGCCTGGCAACAAGGGCGCCTCAATTGGTAGGGGAGGTCGGGTCACGTCAGGGGCAACTGTGCTGGGTCTCTTCCGGGTGCCAGGATGTACCTTGCAACGCGCCTGACCTGAGGTTAGACCCCGCCCTCCCCCCAGTCCACAAACTTCTACTTTGTTTCCAACTAGGGCGTGTCATGTGCTGCAGAGGTAGAAAGATGTGAGATGAGGCCAGGAACGGTGGCTCACGCCTGTAATCCTAGCACTTTGGGAGGCTCAGGAGGGCGGATCATGAGGTCAGGAGTTCGAGACCAGCCTGATCAACATGGTGAAACCCCGTCTCTACTAAAAATACAAAATTAGCTGCTCGTGGTGGCACGAGCCTGTAATCCCAGCTACTCAGGAGGCTGAGGCAGGAGAATGCTTGAACCTGGGAGGCGGAGGTTGCAGTGAGCCCAGATTGTGCCACTGCACTCCAGCCTGGACAAGACAGCAAGACTCCATCTCAAAAAAAAAAAAAAAAGATGTGAGATGATAGTGTTGGAGCCCCCATAGGTCAATGAGGAAGAAGTCAATCGTTTTTGTTTTGTTTTGTTTTGTTTTGAGATGGAGTCTCTCACTGTTTCCTAGGCTAGAGTGCAGTGGCGCTATCTCTGCAATCTCGGCACACTGTATCCTTCGCCCCCCCATCCCCTCAGGTTCAAGGGATTCTCCTGTCTCAGCCTCCCGAGTAGCTGGGATTACAGGCGCCCTCCACCACACCCAGTTAATTTTTGTATTTTTAGAAGAAACGGGGTTTCACTATGTTGGTCAGGCTGTTTCTTTTCTTTTTGAGATGGAGTTTCACTCTGTCACCCAGGCTGGAGTGCAATGGCGCAGTCTCAGCTCACTGCAACCTCCGCCTCCCCAGTGCAAGGGATTCTCCTGCCTCAGCCTCCCGAGTATCTGGTATTACAGGCACCCACCACCACCCCCGGCCAGATTTTGTATTTTTTAGTAGAGACAGGGGTTTCGCCATATTGGTCAGGCTGGTCTCGAACTCCTGACCTCAGGTGATCCGCCCGCCTTGGCCTCCCAAAGTGTTGGGATTGCAGGTGTGAGCCACCGCCCCCAGCTGAAGAAGTCAATCTTACACGAAACTCCAAAAGGACTTACTGGGGTCACTTCCTAAATCTGAACAACTTAGGTTATGGGCACACCACATGGTCCTTTCCCAGCTGCCAGTGTTCTCCCGGCTGAAATAGACTTTAGCTTTGTTGGATGCAGCACATACTTCCCAGCCTGGAAAAGCCATATTCTCAAACAATTGTTTTTGTGTAAATTTAAGAGGTATGGTTGTAATAACAAATAACCCTTGTCTCTATGCCTCCTACCTTTGCACAGCCATTTCTTTGGCCTAGAATGCCCTTCTCTGCCTTGACTGCAGGGCGTACTTCTTCCTAAGACTTATCTCTTACTGCAGCTGAGCTGACCTTATCTTCTTATCTTCAATTTGGGAGCTTTTGTTTTTTTTTTTTTTTTTTTCCTGAGGTGGAGTTTTGCTCTTGTCGCCCAGGCTGGAGTACAATGGACCATCTCGGCTCACTGCAATCTCTGCCTCCTGGGTTCAAGCAATTCTCCTACCTAAGCCTCCTGGGTAGCTGGGATTACAGGCGTGTGCCACTACGCCCAGCTAATTTTTTTGTATTTTTAGTAGAGACAGAGTTTCACCATGTTGGCCAGGCTGGTCTCAAACTCCTGACCTCAAGTGACACCCACCTCAGCCTCTCAAATTACATGCCTATACTCACAGCTACTTAGAAGGCTGAGATAGGAGGATCAATTGAGCCGAAGGTCGAGGCTGCAGTGAGCCATGATCACACTACTGTGCTCCAGCGTGGGTGATTCTGTCTTTAAAAAAAAAGAAAGAAAGAAAGAAAAAAAGAAATACATGAAGTGACTGTAAGTGCTACGAAGAAAATGAGGCAGCATAGGAGGATAGAATAATGACGACTGCTATTTAGGGAGGGTATTTCAGGGAAGCCTTGCCCCCTCTCTTAAGAGATACAATTTGAAGAAAGTGGGTAAGTCATGTGCTTACTTGAAGGAAGAGTAATTTAGACAAAAGAACTGGCAACTGCAAAGATCCTGAGGTAGAAATGTGTTTGGGGGGTTCAAGGAACCTGAAGCAAAGCGACAGGGGAAGAATGGCAAGGGGCAAGAGAAAGAGGAGGGCAGGGTCACATCACAGGACCTCAGAGGTCGTTATGGGGATTTGGGCTTTTACCCTGGGTGATTTGGGACCCAGTGAAAGGTTCTGAGCAGAGGAGTGACATGATCAGAATTGTGTGTGAAAAGGATCTCTACTGTGTTGAGAATAGCTTAAGGTAAACACGAGTGGAAACAGATGTGAAGGAAGCAGAGAAGATACGAGAGATGGTGGTAGTTTGTTCCAAAATGTTACTGATGGAAACAGAGAGAAGTAGTCAGACCCTGGATACATACTGAAGGAATAGCGACAGGATTTGCTGATGAATTGGATGTGGGGTATGATAGAAAATGGAAGGAGGCCAGGTATGGTAGCTCACACCTGTAATCCCAGCAGTTTGGGAGGCGAGTGACTGGGAGTATAGGCATACACCACCACACCTGGCTTCTTTTTTTTTTTTTTCACTTTTTTTTTTTGAGATGGAGTTTCGTTCTTGTTGCCCAGGCTTGGAATGCAATGGCACGATATTGGCTCACTGCAACCTCTGCCTCCTGGGTTCAAGCGATTCTCCTGCCTCAGCCTCCCAAGTAGCTGGGATTACAGGCATGTGCCACCACGCACAGCTAATTTTTAAAATATTTTTAGTAGAGATGGGGTTTCACCATGTTGGTCAGGCTGATCTCGAACTTCTGACCCCAAGTGATCCACCCACCTCGGCCTTCCAAAGTGCAGTGATTACAGGTGTGAGCCACCGTGCTTGGCCTCCCCTGGCTAATTTTTAAGAATTTTGGGGAGCCAGACACAGTGGCTCACACCTGTAGTCCCAACACTTTGGGAAGCTGAGGTGGGCAGATCACCTGAAGTCAGGAGTTCAAGACTAGCCTGGCCAACATGGTGAAACTCTGCCACTAAACATACAAAAATTAGCCTGGCATCATGGCGTGCACCTGTAATCCCAGATACTCAGGAGGCTAAGGCAGGAGGATCACTTGAACCCAGGAGGTGAAGGTTGCAGTGAGCCAAGATTGCACTACTGTACTCCAGCCTGGGCGACAGAGTGAGACTCTGTCTCAAAAAGAAAAAAAAAAAGAAGAAAAAAAAAAGAAAAAAAGAATTTTTTTGTAGAGGTAGGTTTTCACTATGTCACCCAGGCTAGTCTCAAACTCCTGGGCTAAGGCAGTCTTCTCATTTCGATCTTCCAAAGTGCCAGGATTACAGGTGTAAACCACCGCGCCCAGCTGAAAAAGGATTTTTTTTTTGAGACGGAGTTTTGCTCTTGTTGCCCAGGCTGAAGTGCAGTGGTGCGATCTCGGCTTACTGCAACCTCCACCTCCTGGGTTTAAGTGATTCTCCTGCCTCAGGCTCCCAAGTGGCTGGGATTACAGGTGTCCACCACCACGCCTGGCTAATTTTTTGTATTTTTAGTAGAGACAGGGTTTCACCATGTTGGCCATCCTGGTCTCAAACTCCTGACCTCAGGTGATCCACCCGCCTCGGCCTCTCAAATTACTGGGATTACAGGCGTGAGCCTCAATGGCCAGCCAATTTTTTTTTTTAATTAAAAGAATTAAAATAAAATGGAAGTCAAGGAGATAATTTAGACCTTGTACAGAGAAGGTCCAGGAGGGATTTCATCACATTGCATCACATTGAGGGCACAACAGGGATTGTACAACTCTGCACTCAGTACCTCATTTCTTCACTGCTAGTGCAGAGCCTGTCTAGGTACTTGGCTTCCCAGGGGGATGATGGACAAGACTGAAGGGAAGAAGGGAGGTCCATGGAGGCAGGGAGGCTCAAAGGCAGCACTGAAGCTTGCCAAATGAGGCAGCAAGAAGGTCCTAGGAGGACTTAGGCATCCAGATTTGATCATGTGTATGAGCCATTGAGGGCTGAAGAGTGAAATGACAGGAGGAAGTCTGGAAAGCTAAGCTGGTGTCATATGCAGGAAGAAGGAAGCTGAAGGCTGTGGCCTGGGTTGGAACTAGTTTGCTGGAAGTGAGTGTACAAAAAAGTAGGTGACAGGTGGCCTTGTGGTGAAGGAAAAACTTCCAGTTTGGTAGTAAAATGAACACAGGGGAAAGGGAAAGGAGTGTCAGCCAATTTGGAGCCCTCAAGTCTCATGAACAGCATGTTTGTGACATGGCAGTCTAGGCCGGAGTGCCTTTTTTGTGTGTGTTTTTCTTGAGATACTGTCTTGCTCGCTGCCAAGGCTGGAGTACAATAGCACAATCTTGGCTCACTGCAACCTCTGCCTCCCGGGTTCAAGCGATTCTCCTGCCTCAGTCTCCCAAGTAGCTGAGATTACAGGTGCCCGCCACCATGCCTGGCTAATTTTTGTATTTTTAGAAGATGAGGTTTCACCATGTTGGCCAGGCTGGTCTCGAACTCCTGATCTCAAGTGATCCACCCACCTTGGCCTCCCAAAGTGCTGGAATTATAGGCGTGAGCCACCGCACCCAGCCAGCCAGAGTGTCTTTTATGGGGCTTAGATAGAGCAAGGAATCCAGTTTGGGACTACCCTGCTGGGGTGACGGTGAAATTTGTGCTTGAGGAAGAGGTGCCAGTAACAACAGGTACAGGTTTAGCAACTCTTCGCTCTGACTCCTCTGTTCTCAGGCCCCAGGACCTCTAGACCATAGTTTCAGGTCACCTTCAAGTGTCTCCTCTTCATTTAGACCTCCAGTCTAACCTCAGGCCCGATGTTGAGGCCTTCTAGCAAGAACTATGAAGCCCAGACTTTACCATGTGAAGTTGGTGGCTATAGTGCCTGGCTGAAGGCTTGATGCCCCTTTCGATGGCCTATCCCAACCCACTCCCTAATCTTGTCTGCCCAGAGGGTACCTCTGTAGAGTGCCAGGCCCAGGACCCACAGGGCCCAGATAGCATATGAGCCAGAACCTGTGGGCAGAGGAGAGGAAAAAGGCTGGAGATGTCAGCAGGAAGAGAACCCCAGTGCCCCACTTTTAAGTTTACATCTCTATCTGTGACCACTGCTACCTTCTTCTCCCAGAAAATCAGATACTGATTCCTCTTTCAATAAAATTTTATTTTAAATCCTTAGTGAATATCTAAGAGGAAAATATAAAGTGCTTGTCTTTTTTTTTTTTTTTTTTTTGAGACGGAGTCTCGCTCTGTTGCCCAGGCTGAAGTGCAGTGGCCGGATCTCAGCTCACTGCAAGCTCCGCCTCCCGGGTTCACGCCATTCTCCTGCCTCAGCCTCCTGAGTAGCTGGGACTACAGACGCCCGCCACCTCGCCCGGCTAGTTTTTTGTATTTTTAGTAGAGATGGGGTTTCACCATGTTAGCCAGCATGGTCTCGATCTCCTGACCTCGTGATCCGCCCGTCTTGGCCTCCCAAAGTGCTGGGATTACAGGCGTGAGCCACCGTGCCCGGCAGTGCTTGTCTTTAGAGTTGGGAGGTCAGGGAAGAGGGAGAGGCCCCCTGGGTTCACACCATTTGGAATTTCCCAGTCCCTTACAGATGAAAGAGGGTGTATATGTCAAAATTAAAAAAAAAAAAAAAGGATAAAAAATTAGCCTTGAGTGCTCCACCAGCCAGTGTGTGTGAGGATTTTCAGGATACAATTATCACAGACAACTATTGAGAATTATCATAAAGAGGACAGGTCAATTGTGTGAAGAATGAGTCTATTTCAAAGGAGACAGGAAGAACAAAGAGGTGAGGTGGAAGATGGGTACCCCACGCTCTACACCAGGGACAGAATGGCTGCCTGCTGCTCTGGAGTCTCCTCCAGCAAGTATCGGGCAAAGGCCTGCTCCATCTGTATTGGAAGAGATGGAGAAGAGTGTCTTAGTGAGTGCATCAGGGACAGACACCACCCCCAGGAGCTCCTTCCCCACTAGGAAACCCCCTTTGCCTCCTGGAGTACCACTGCCCCCGCTCTCATTAGATGGGTACTCTGCCCCTGCTCTGAGCTCACCTTCACTGTGATAAGATTCTGTGGAGTATGGCTGGGGCCACGGCTCTCTTCCCAGAAATTCAGTGTTACTTGGAACTTCGGAGGGGGGCCTAGGCCCTGGAAGTACCTGGCCAAGTCTGAAAGAGAAAGGGTCAAGGGTTGGAAGAACAAAAAGAAGAGAGGGCCACAGGCAGGGAGGCAATAGTGAGAAACTCATGATGGAGAGAGGTAGGAGGGGGTCCTGCCACAGCAGGAGCTGCAAGGTCAGAAGTACTTGGAACTAAATGCTACTCACCCATGTGCAAATAGGGAAAGGGTGCCCCTGCCTCAAATAAGTGCTTAGAAGTAGATCACTGCACAGCTGAAAAAGCTCTCTGCTGGGAGAGTTTAGAGTCCTCCCGGGCAGCAGCCCTGGCTGCTAACACAGATGTGCCCAGACCTTTGCTGCTTGCTCACACCCTTCCAGTGCTAGGGTACCCATGGCGCTGGGAACACCCACACTCTGCACCCGTGTACACCTAGTCCCACTCTTAAGGTCAGGTTTAGAATTGAGTAGGAGCTGGAATTGGATGGGAGAGAAGTGCAGCCCTAAGGCATGCCTGGACTGTAGTAGAGACAGTGCAGCCAGGGCCAGAGTGTGTGATGTGTGCCAGCTCTCCCAAATCTGTGTATATAGGAGAAGGCCACGAAGCTCAAAATCTCTGTGCCAATTCTTCTGTGCACGTTCACATAGTGACTGCATGCTTCACTGTGATGGTGTTCTTCAAGATACGACACTCTTGTGCTGGGCTCTACCTGAACCACCTCTTCCATTGTCTTGGCTGGAGGATAGCTGCCAGGTAGCTGCCAAGCTGGGCATATGGCCACACAGGATGTGCACCACACAAGTGCAGGAGTGCCATGCATAGGCTACATGGAGGATCTGCTGGCAGATAGGGAAGTGGCAGGACCCACCAAGTTGGGCCCAGGGGGTACTAAGAGGTAGGGGGTGGGAGCTCAGGTGCCCAGAGAGAGCAGCCTCACCTCTGCAGAAGTAGGCGGTTCTGAAGAGCTCCACGCACTCGTTGCTGGGCAGCAGATGTGGGCCTGGCCCAGGTGGAGCCTGGGGTGCGTTCCAGGAGATGGGGATGGGGCAAAGGCGCTGCACGAAGAGGCCTCGGGGGTTGCTGGCCACCAGGATGCCCCTCTCAAGCTGGCTCAGCAGGCGCTGCGTGGGCTCCAGTGGGCCAGGCTTGGGGAACAGCACCTGCTCCATGCTGCTCTCAGAGCCTGAGGGCTCAGCCACAAGGCGGCAATCCAGGCTTTGCACCTGGGCCTCGCCCACCACACGCCCGTTGTAGATGAAGGTGAGCAGCAGTGAGTAGTCTGGGGAATAGAACAGCCCTACTTGGTGCTGGAGGAGCATGCAGGCTGGCAGCAGCCCCTCCCCAGGGGAATAGCTCCACCTTCCCTCCCTGCACCAGCCAGGGGATTTCTTCTCAGGTTTTCCTGTCACTCAGGCAAGTAGCTAGTATGTGATTGACCATGAGGCCTCAGGGTTTAATGACCAGGGGCTTGTAGTTTACTAGAAGGTCCCTTGAGATTGGGCCTCTGTTTGGCCCAATGAAATCAACGTCTCAATGTAGATTTCCAGGAGAGTGTATAGGGTGATATTTTTGGGAAGCAAGCTTTTTGGAGTCTGGCCAGGCATGTGGAATTCTCGCCACCTAGAAACCAGTGCCTTGGGCTATGGTAATGTGGGCACAGTTTGCTGTAAGCCCTGACTGACTAGATAATGCATGCACAGTCAAAGGTGGAAGACCTCGGGGCACAGGGCACAGGAGAAAGTCAGAAATGCCATGTACCTGGCTCTGGAGGAAGCAGAAACTCCAGGGACCTCTGATCCCCTTGAAAGGGGGCCTCAGTTGTGTCTGTACCTGGAAGGGAAGCAAAGGCACTGGTCATTCAGAGTGGGACTGGGGAGTCTTGGGCCAGAGGGTGTGGCATGGGGGACAACACAAGAGGCAGGGCAGGTGGTACCTTCCTGTGGCTCAGGGCTGCTGCTGCTGCTGCTCCCGATGTCTGAATGGAGTGCTCCCCCACTGGCCTCCTCCTCCCCCTGCAGACACAGTGTCTTTTTTTTTTTTTTTTTCTTTTTTTGAGACAGAGTTTTGCTCTTGTTGCCCAGGCTGGAGTGCAATGGGGCAATCTCGGCTCACTGCAACCTCCGCCTCCTGGGTTCAAGCGATTCTCCTGCCTCGGCCTCCTGAGTAGCTGGGATTACAGGCAGATGCCACAACACCCAGCTAATTTTTGTATTTTTAGTAGAGACGGGGTTTCACCATGTTGGTCAAGGCTGGTTTCGAACTCCTGACCTCAGGTGATCTGCCCGCCTCGGCCTCCCAAGACACAGTGTCTTTCATTGGCCCACCTCTCCCTCTAGTTACTGTCCTGCCCTCAGGCCCGCCCAGTTCCCTTTCCATCTCTTACATTATTGAGGGATTCCTGGAGCACAGAGGGACTGAGTGTGCAGTTCTGCATGGCACCCTCTTCCTCCTTCCTCTCAGAGGACACAGAACTGTGCTGTCGCTTTGATGGTGATTTCTGAGTCCCTGGCTGGCCTGTGGAATTGTTGAGGGAGACAGAAAGGTCAGGGTCTTGAGCAGGGACAGAGGGTAAGGGAGAGGTCTGAGGCAGTGAAGAATGCGCAAGCCTAGGAAGGGAAACCTGGGTAGCAGCCCCCAAGGGCACGGACAAGGCAGAGCTATGAGAAGCCTGGGGGAAGCCCGCACATCTATCCTTCCTCCCCAGTCTGCTGAGTCTAGGAGTGGTTGGGCAAGGGGAAACCCACCAGAGAAGGCTCCTGGTGGCAGCAGCCGATACACCTTGTAGGGCTCAGCAACATCCATGCGGCCCCTCTTAGGAACCTCCTCAAATTCAGGACTCTTGTTGAGTGCACAGCGCAGGCGAGTCTTCCAGACAGCGGGGCCTCCTGTGTCCCCTTCCTTATACTTTCCCTTAAATATTGCCCAGGCCTAGGAAAGAAAGCAAGGGAAAAAGAGGCAGTGTGTTACAGGCTCCAGCTGCCCCTCCAACAGGACTGGCTTTATGGGCGTACAGCTCTAAGCTCAGAAGGGATCATGCAGGGTCTGCGCTCTGTGTTGCCATCTTGAAATCCCCAGAATTTTTTTTTTTTTTTTTGACGAAGTCTTGCTTTGTTTGCCAGGCTGGAGTGCAGTGGTACGATCTCGACTCACTACAGCCTCTGCCTCCCTTGTTCAAGCAATTCTCCTGCCTCAGCCTCCTGAGTAGCTGGGACTACAGGCATGCGCCGCCAGGCCCAGCTAATTTTTGTATTTTTAGTAGAGACGGGGTTTCACCATGTTGGCCAGGATGGTCTTGATCTCTTGACCTCGTGATCCACCCACCTCGGCCTCCCAAAGTGCTGGGATTACAGGCGTGAGCCACTGTGCCTGGCCAAAATCCCCAGAATTTTTGAACAAGGCCTCCACATTTTCATTTTGTACTGGACTCTGCAAATGATGCAGCTAGTTTTCCTCTCCAATCTCTCCCTTGTCTGAAACCCAGGTAGACGCAAGTGCTCGAGGGTGAGTGTACCAGTGTATACACCATCCCTCACGCAGAGAACAGTGGTTTCCAAGCCCTTTCACCTTGAAGAAGGCAGCATCCTGGTCCTCTCGGAAGTCCTGCTTGCCTGCATGCTTCCAGGGAATCCGGAACATGGTCTTAGCTGTATCATCCCAGCACACTCCAGGGAACTGCCCGCTCTCCACTTGCTCCACCACCCAGTTCCGGAGTTTTCGGGTACAGCGTGCCCTGCCTGATGCCATCCTGGGGGATAAGAGGAGCAGGAAGCGTCAGAACTGACACTTTGGGAGGGAACATCTCCTGAGACCCTGGCCATTGAGACTAGATTCTGGCAACAGGTCCCAGAGATCCCATCCATTTTCTTTTAGCTGTAGACACATTTCAACACTCTATGAGACAGAATTGTTTCCTTTCTGCCATCACTAGCAATGACAAAAAACAAAAACAAAATAAAAACCCAAACATTGTTTTTAGCATTCTAAGCTGTGATACCTGGAAGGAAACCTTGGGCATTGGTCTTAATTTTAGGACTTTTCAGAAATGTATTGTTTAGGAAGTAATTCCTTTGGTGATCATTCCTGGTGAGAGGCCCTGTCTAGATTCCCGAGCATCAGCAGAGGCAGGCTCTGCTGAGATGCATCAGGCCCTTCACCCACTGCCCCACAGCCTACACAACCTAGCCTCTGACCCCCACCCCTCTGCCATCCCTAGGAGTAGGTGGGGCAGGAAGCAGGGGTGGGGGTGGAGCTGCAGCACAAGTGGGCAGGGCCAGACGGCAAGGAAACAAATGGTCCACTGAGGCTGGGGCAATGAGCCTTCTTCCCTGAACAATCCAGCAGTAGGTCCTTCTGACCTTTGCCTACAAGAGTCTGAGGTGCTGGCCTTTGTCAGTCTCATTCTCAGGCTGAATCTCCCACTTCCTGACTTAGAGGTCTTCTGTCTATCCCGCAGTCTAACAGAGGGACCCCTAGAATCCCTTACCCCCAATCTGGCTGGACTTTCTAGCCCTAGATCCCAGGCTGACTCCCATTCTTGGCTGATCTTACCTGAGTTGCTGTCCAGGCTGTTGCAGGGCTCAGACGACCTCAGCTTAACTCCTGGCTGGGCAGCTGATCTCTCCACCCCTTTCTACAGTCCCCACCCTAAGTTTCGGTTCTCCTCCAGGGAGGGCCTTTTCCCAGAAATCACGTGGTCTCAGAGTTGCAGGGAACTGGTGGCCACCAGAGGGCAGCAGCATCTAAGCATCTCACTATCAGGATGCCACTGTCGCAGCAGGGGGGCCCTGCTCTACCGGCTCACCTCCATCCTGGCTCATTCCCCTTCCTCCCTCAGATACTCTTGCTTGTATCTGACCTTCTCTGGGTGACACTGCGGCTTCCCCAGGGAGGCCAGTTTCCTGGAGTCAGGCTTGGGACCTCTGGATTGCTGTGTACACCTGTGCATCTGTGTTCCCCTACAGTGCCCACCTGATACATACTGGGTGACTTCAAATACCAGTCGAATTCGATGAAAGGAAGAAAGGAGGCAGGGAGGGAGGGAGCCCAGGCCAGGTGGCTGGATGGGGAGGGCCTCCCTTGACCATCCAGGGTGTCAGCTCCTTCCTGGTCCTGAGTCCAGGGAGGGTCAGGCACTAGGTTGCAGGGGGCCCTTTTCAGCAAAGCTCTGTTCACCCCACTCTTTCCCTGGTGCCCCTAGATGGTGGCACCAGGAAGAAGGACCACCAAGAAGCCTGGGTGGTAAGATGCCTCTTTATTGGTGCTGGAGCTGTTCCTGAGGGAGTAGGCCATGGGACCCTCATCGGGACCCTTACTCTCAGCTACTTCCTCCTGCGGGGGATACTCTGTCCCAAGGGTACCTCTTCTGTCAGCTTCTGCAGGAGAGAGAAGGTAATGATATTAGGAGCCTGGAGCTCAGACACAGCCTGCACCAGGTGACTTCTGTAGGGTGGGGTCAGAGGTGAGGCTGGGTGGAGGCTATACCTGTAACAAGCGGGCCTGGTAGGCAGGGGGATCCTCTCCAGCCAAAGGCTGGGGGCGTACGTGTAGGTAGCGCTCAGTGGCCGTCTCCAGTTCTTCCACCTCATACAGGGTGGCTGGGTCCAGAGAGTGGGCATTGATGAGGCTCACAAGATACTCTTTGTAGTGTGCCCTGGGGAGAAAAGGGAGCAGAATATTTGTTCTGTTGACTAATATTAACTGAGTGTGTCTAACATAGCTGGGCTCTGAGACACTTGGACGAACAAGATTAACAACCCCTGCCTGTGCCCACACTGCCTGCTACTATCTATCCACGCCCTTGCCCAGAAAGCTTCCTCCCTTCTACCCACTGCGAGACCTACTGCTCCCAGGGACCCACTTTACTGCCTGGGCATGCCCTCACCACTTCTACCCACCGCCCAACACCATGCCCATGTCCTGCTGACACTCACTGGCACAGGCCAGCATAGCCAGCTGGAGTTTCCTTGCCACAAGCTTCATCCCTGAGCCCATTGGGAACCTCCTTCTGCTCCATTACTCGACAGCCACCTGAAGGTGAGGGAAGAAGGGAGCCTCTGTTGGGAGGCCAATAACCACAAAGCTCCAGAACTGGGATACTCACAAGGTAGGGAAGGCAGCCTCCAAGGAAGGGACTGAGCACAGCAACTCCCGCTTTCCCAGTGGTGCTGGTGGGTACTCAGAGGTGCCATCAGCGGCCGACCATCTGATACAGAGGCAGGAATTTGTCCCTACTTTTATCCAAGCTGGCTTTTGGTTCATAAACACATACCCTCTTGAGATAGCTTTTTTTTTTTTGGTTATTTATCTCTTGACTAGTTAACTTACTTATTCTGTGAAGGTCTTACCTCTTTTTTTTTTTAAATAGAGACAGGGTCTCACTATGTTGTTCATGCTGGTCTCAAACTCCTGGGCTCAAGTAATCCTCTTGCCTTAGCCTCCCAAAGTGCTGGGATTACGGGTGTGAGCCACCACTCCTGGCTACCTCTGTTTTTTTTTTTTTGTTTGTTTTTTTTTGAGATGGAGTTTCACCCTTGTTGCCCAGGCTGGACTGGAGTGCAGTGGCGCAATCTTGGCTCACTGCAATCTCCGCCTCCTTCTGGGTTCAAGCGATTCTCCTGCCTCGGCCACCCGGGTAGCTGGGATTACAGGTGCTTGCCACCACACCTGGCTAATTTTTTTTGTATTTTTAGTACAGACAGGGTTTCACCTTGTTGGCCAGGCTGGTCTCGAACTCCTGACCTCAGGTGATCCACCTGCCTTGGCCTCCCAAAGTGCTGGGATTATAGGCATGAGCCACTGCGCTTGGCCACCTTTTTTTTTTTTTTTTTTGAGACTGAGTCTCACTGTTGCCCAGGCTGGAGTGCAGTGGTGCGATCTTGGCTCATTGCAAGCTCCGCCTCCCAGGTTCATGCCGTTCTCCTGCCTCAGCCTCCTGAGCAGCTGGGACTACAGGCACCTGCCACCATGCCCGGCTGATTTTTTCTATTTTTTAGTAGAGACAGGGTTTCACTGTGTTAGCCAGGATGGTCTCCATCTCCTGACTTCATGATCCGCCTGCCTTGGCTTCCCAAAGTGTTGGGATTACAGGCATGAGCCACCGCACCTGGCAGGCCACCTCTATTTTTTTAAAAAAAAATTTAAAGCCTACAGCACCTGGTATTCCCAGCCAATCTCTCATCCAAGTACTAACTAGGCCCGAACCTGCTTAGCCTCCAAGATCAGAAAAGATTAGTCACATTCAGGGTGGTATGGACTGTAGACTTACCTCTGTCTACACTGTAGGAAGTGAAAGAGGTTAGAACCACACGTAACACCTTTCTGTTACCCTCATGGAATCTAAAACAGTGCCCTGCAACTAGCAGGTCTCATTAAACACTCATTGAGTTAATTAATGAATTATGATCATTTGGGAATGGGAGAAGAAAATTAGTATTAATGCCTTCTTGGGTACCAGGTTCTTTAAAGATGTCTTACGTAAAGTGGCTTAGCTGTGAGGTAGATACTACCCCTATTTTACAGCGGAAGAAACAAGGCCTGGAGTCTCAATTAACTTGCCAAAGGGCGTGCAACAAGTGGCCCCAGACCCAAGCCTCCCCTTTACCCATCATACAGTGGGAACCCAGCACACCATCTCTTCTTCTCAAAGGCTTGTCCTAACACTCACCTCCAGGGACTGCCCGGGCCCCAGCTGGAGGCTCTGTATTAAACATGACATTATTGTCCTGAGGAGGAGAGACAGATGGGTGTTACATTCCCCTTGATGCCAGTCCCTGTTGCATTTCCTAGCATGAAGTCTTTTCCACTCTTGCCCACCCTGGGCCCAGTCTTCTTCTCTCCTGACCACCTCTGACCTGTAGCAGCTTCTGAAGCCGGAGAGCAGTCCAGTCCCGTAGGTAGAAGAGACAGTCTCGAGGGTGGTGGCCGTGCAGAGACTTTTTCACCCTGCAGTTAGGGTCTGGACATTTCTGGCAGAAACCCAGATGGGAGAGAGGAAGTTGGAGACTGTTGGGGTCCTGGCCTCTCAGGAACCCCTGCGTGAGGGGTGTATGGGTGAGGGGAGATGGAGACATTGGAGGAGCAAGCAAAGGGTAAGGGGATAGAGAGTTGTGCTTTACATCCCATTGACCTCTTCTCTTCCCTGGGGCCACTCCTCAATGGCCTCTGCCTCTCAAACCCAATGGAGGCCCCCACCCTTCCATCCCTTCGCCAACTCTCTGGGCTCACATTCTTGGCATAAAAGGCATTGTAGCAGCCGCTGCAGAACTGGTGGCGGCACTGGGTACAGTGAAAGTGCATGCAGCCTCCTCGGGCCAGGGCATACGAGAACTTGCATTTGGGGCAGTCTGCAAAGGACAAGAGGTCAGGGCTGGAGCTGCCGCTGCAACTCAAGGCCCTCAAGAAGAGAGCTGCTGGCAATGACAGGCTTCTGAGCAAATAGGCCAAGTGGGGCAGCCTTACCAATGCCATTTTCCTGAAGATACATTGCTAGGCCCTGGGCCTGGTATTCTGGGTCATTCATGCGTTTCCAGTTCTGGAAGTCCTCACAGCTCCGACCTCGGTGCTGCTCCTCCCACTGCCGGAGGGAAAGTAGGCTTCACGTGGGAGCTCTATCCCATCCCCTGGCCCTTCTTCCTAGCCCCTCCACTCACATCCAGTGGTCCCCAGCTTGGTTTATGTCACTGCCACCTACCATTTGCTCAGATCTAAAAATGAGAGGCCATCCTTGGTTCTTTCATTTTCTCCTACCACCTCACACTCCTTTTGCCTTGTTTCCACCCCACAGACCATCTCAACATTATCCCCTTTTCCTTCATCCCTACTGCTACCACTTTACTCCAGGTCACTATCAGCCCTTGCCTCAATTGCTTGCCCTGGTTACTAGTCTGTTTCCCATTCCTGCACCCCTAGGATCAATTCTCCCCATAGCTGTCAAAAGGACTTCAAAATTGTAAGTCAGGTAGCTTCCACAGTATTGGTGGTGTTTTTGGTCCCATGGTAGTCTCAGGTGTTCACTTTGTTTTAGACATGATGCAGATGAAATTTTTTTTTTTTTTTTTTGAGATGGAGTCTCGCTCTGTCACCCAGGCTGGAGTGCAATGGCGTGATTTCGGTTCATTGCAGCCTCCACCTCCTGGGTTCAAGTGATTCTCCTGCTCCAGCCTCCAGAGTAGCTGGGATTACAGGCACATGCCACCACACCTGGCTAATTTTCGTATTTTTAGTAGAGACGGGGTTTCACCATATTGGGCAGGCTGGTCTTGAACTCCCGACCTCAAGTGATCCACCCACCATGGCCTCCCAAAGTGATGGGATTACAGGCAGAAGCCACTGTGCCTAGCCAAATATTATACTTCTTAAAAGATAAATGTGGCTGGGCATAGTGGCTCATGCCTGTAATCCCAGTACTTTGGAAGGCTAAGGCGAGGGATCACTTGAGACCAGGAGTTGGAGGCTATAGTGAGCTGTGACTGCACCAGAGGACCCCAGCCTGGGTGAGAGTGAGTCCTTGTCTCTAAAAATAAATAAATAAATAAACGAAAGATAAATGAGATAGTATCACCCTTGCTTTTTCTCAGAATGAAGGCGGACGGATACCTGCCTCACTTGGCCTCCAGGGCTCTCCAGACCTGGCAGCTGGCTTCTCTCTGACCACCTGCCACTCCCACCTTGCTTTCCAGGCTCCAGCCACACAACACTTTTTTCTGACTCTGGTCCTTTCCATGTGTTGTTCTTTCTCTCCCAAATGTTCTCTGCGTGGCTGGCTTCTTTTTAATGTTTAGGCCTGAGCTTAAACCATTTTAGAGAAGACTTGTCTGACCTCTCTACCCTAAGTAGGT